GCCCACCACAAGGCAATAATATCCCTCTGCCTTATTCATCCCCGACCAGGCACTCCTCTGTGGTTCAGCAAAGGCGGTGGCCTCTGTGTTTTCCCCTTGCTCCTGCCTTTGTCCTCCTGACCACCCGGTGCTCTCCCCAGGCGTCCCTGCATGAGCACCTGCCTCCTGTCTCTGGGACCTTTGTTTTCCTGAACCTCTACTGTGTCTCCTCTTGTGGCTGCACCTGCATACACAAATGAACAAGGAAATGTCATGGAGAATTCTCACGCTGGAGGTGAGGGGTGGCGGGTACCAGGGGTGAGATTTGGCTGTTGTATGGAGGACGACTGGGGAAGGTCCCGCCCAAAGGTGAGAGACCTGAAGGCGAAGGAGTGGGCCGTGTGAGTATTTGGGGGCGGAGTGCTCCGTGCCGAGGGAACCTGAGGTGGGAACGTGCTTCTGTGTCTGAGGCACAGCCAAGAGGCCAGTGTGGCAGGAGGGGGGACGCAGAGGCGAGGGGAAGGGGGGTGAGGGCCAGGGCAGACGACTAGAGCCTCCCAGGCCACTGGAAGGGCTTTGGCCTCTCCTCTGAGTAAGATGGAAGGCACTGGAGGGTTCTGAATGGAAAGAGTGACGTGATCTGACTTAAATTTGAGGAGTCGTTGAAGCTGCTGGACGCGAATAAACAGAAGACGTGCAGGGGCAGAAGCAAGACCGGCTGGGAAGTCACTGCAGGGACACGGGTGAGAGGCGACAGTGATTGGGCCTGGGGACAGTGGTGCAAATGCTGGAACTGGGTATGTCTCATGGCAGAGACAAACCAGACTCACCCTTTGGACGTGGGTTCTGAGACCAAGGGAAGAGCCCAGGCTTTTGGCCTGAGCAAATGGAAGAATGGAGTTTGTCAACAAAGCATGTGGGTAGAATAGGTGTGGGTGGAAGGCTCCGGAATGCTGTCTGCACATGTTTGGCTTGAGATGCCTGTCAGATATCCAAATGGAGTTGACGAGGAGGCAGTTGGAGATAACGAAGCTGGAATTGAAAAAGAGAAGTCGGGACTGAAGACATAAATTTGGGTGTTGGTGTTTAAAGCCTTGGGACTGGATGAGATCACCTTGGGAGAGGATATAGACAGAAAGAGACGTCACCCTGGGGATGGCCCTCTGAGACCAGCCCTGCCCTCCATCCTGCTTCCGCCGCAGGGGGGGATATCCCGGTCATGGAGGAACTGGCCCCTTTCGAGTTGTGCCACACGGCTGATTGGTTACAGGTGTGGGGTAAATGAGGCAGCACCATGCCCTGGGAATGGGGCCTCAGTGGAGACCAGCCATTCTGTGCGGGAAACGTGCCAACACCCTGGAGGAACGTCCCCTCCTCTCCTTGTCCTCAGCTCGGTTGGGATTTGAACTAGCGACCTGGAGGGCAAGCTTCTCCGTGCTCATGCCAGTCCTCCAAGCACCCATGGCCTGTTCCTGCTAGTCCAGCCCGGAGCTTAGTCTCTGGGTGAGCAGGTGTCCTTTCCACACTGGGGGACGGAGACTGCGGGCTGGGGGACGGTGGCCTCGAGGCAGCAGCAGCCAGATAGGAGCTGCCCCACACATTTTACCCATTAGCTGAGACTCTCTCATAACCTTTTCCACTCCCCTTACAATGAATCATCAAATGAGCAAGGCCCCTAGAACGTTCATAAAAACCGTGCAGATTTTACAGTTTGAGCAGAGAGGGCATGGCAGGCTGGGCCCTGGGGGGTGGCGATCGCATCTATGGCCACAGTTGAGCCGCGGTCCTAGAACCGGATCCCAAGGGGAAATGAAGAGGAGCGTGAGGGAAGAAGCTCTTGAAATACCTCCCAGTTTTCTCCCTTCCTCAGCTTTTCTGTCACCACTCAGGCTCCCCTGGACTTGTCTGAGGAAATCCCAGCCACGAAAAGCACCCGTGGAAGAGGAGAGAAGTTGGAGCGACAACAGCAGCAGCGTTGGGATGCACTGCCGTCAGCTCCCCAATGCTCCAGCTCACTGTCCAGACAGGCCATTGCGTCCCCACCTTACGCATCATTCTTTGAAAGGATTCCTCCAGACCAGCTCCCTCCCGCTCTCGGCTTCCTGCTTTTTCCTTCTCCCCGTCCCCTGTGGTGAAGGAGCAGTGAACAGACACAACTATGCCATGGCTTTCAAGGCCTCGGCTGGTGGTAGCTGTCTGAAGCCCTCCCGTTCTTCCCTGCTCTCCCACTCAACGGAGACTCCGCTCTTCGCTTTCCCACCTGGGAGGGAAGGCTGTGCACGGACCCCACATCTGAAAGCTGGGGCACCGTTTACACAGCCAGTGTCCATCTGTTTCGGGATGGGGCTCCTTTCAAGTCCTCTCTGAGAACTTGGCACCCTGCAATAAAAAATGAGGAGTTTGAGATCCCCAGAGAGGTGGGGATCTTTCTCTTACCTTCAACCAAGGCCCTAAAGTGCAAATGAATTGCAATTCATTCTCTGCTTCTTGTAGCTGCAAAGACAGCAACCGATTTGTTTTGCTGTGGCCAAGCTCCACATGCACATACATGGTGATGGAAATCAGTGGAAAGGGTGCCTTTTGGGTCCCTGTATTCAGTATTCTGGGACATCGGGGAACATCCTCAGCAGGACACACAGAGGCAAGCATTAAAAACAATCTTCTGGGCTCGACAAAAATTTGGTGAAGACACTGATAGTGCTAGGTGCCTTTTCTGCTCTAACGATCTGCCTTGCAACTTACCAATCCAAGATTTTCATTCATCGCTTTATTCATTCAGCACCTGTGTATTGAGTGACGACTGTGGCCCAAGTTTGGTGCTGCGTGCTTCAGGCAGAAACAGTGAACAAGACAGACAAGTCTTCCAGTAAAGGTAGTAGGAGAGGCAGAGAAATAAACAAATCCATCAAACCATTACACACTTTAGTAAGTGCTATGAGATATTTGTGGGCTGCTGGCCCAGAGGGCGAGGTTTGATGAAGTGCAGGCTAAACATAGAAATAAAAGCAAGTTGCTTTTTTTTTTTTTTTCAAATGACTTGATTTTATATGTAACTGAGGAAATGTTTTTTAGATAGTCACAGCAGAATTTTAAAATGGAATTGCTTGCTCCTGAGCTAGGACATCAACCATATCCATGAGCTCATGGAGGCAGATCACATCTCCTAAGATGCCTTTCAAATGATGTGGCTTTGACTCCACGAGGGAAATAAATCAAAGAGGCCGCCCAGTCACCCCCGCAGCAGGCAGTGCCGGTTGTCTACCCAACAGCTGTTCTCTCCCTGCCCTGCCCCTTTCCATGATCTGGCATAATGTCCGGAGAGGTCTTTGTGACCTTGTCCCCGAGAGAATGATCCGAAGCTCACTATTGGCCACGTGTTTGGAGAAAAGTGGATCACGTCATCTCCTTGAGAGGGATGATCTTATGGAGGTCCGAAGGAAGCCATGTGGGTTGAAACTTGCTCTTCTTATGTTGCTTTCCTGGGCTGAGACAATGATGTCTATACTACAGCCCTACGACTTCTCAGTTTCTCTTAATAGGACCCGAACCATGAATCCTCTTCTGTGGCAACCCAGATATATGACCTCTTCCTACTCTTTGGTAACTTGGAATTATGGTTCTGCCTGGCGAGAAGGTGAGTAATCATACTTTACAGAGATCCACAAACCCTTGTTACCTTCCCTATTGTCCCCAGACTGACCTCACATAGTCAGAGTCCTAAGTGTGACAAAGGACTCTTCAGAGACTTCATCTAAATCTGACTTGATTATACGGCTGTGGCAACCTGGCTTGATTTTAGATCAACCGATAGTGTATATATCCCTTCCACGGAACCACCAAGCTCATTCTTGGGTAAACCAGGATAAGAAAGACAAATTAAAGCTTTCCTGTGTTGGAGTAGAAAGATGGTCTCTAAGTGTACCTTTGCTTCTGCCCTATTCCTGGTCCTTAAAACTGTCCCACCAGCTCAAACCACATCTTTACTCCTGCCTGCCCATAGATCCAATCCAGTAGCATCGTCTGATGCTTGAGTGATTGGATCAGGTCTTCCACCTGCTTCCATCTGCATTCCATTCCCACCTGGTTCTACAGCCTCAGTCTCTAGTCCTCCTCCAGCCCTTCAATTCACTATGACTCTGCTTTTCCTTATTTTAATGCCTTGTTTTAGCTCTCAGTGAGAGTGCTACATCCCAACTTGACCCAGCTCATGGCAAACCTCACCAGCACGGGACTGACCTGCTCCAGTTCTCTCCCTTTCCTCTAAGTCACCTGGAAGTGTGGGCTCACGTGGGTGGTACTTCCCCTAACACAGCACATCAGGCTAAGTGCAAGAGGGATGCCACAGCAGCTGGGTCATATTTGTAAGGTTAGACCTTGACCAGGTTTTCAGTCTGTCCACTTTCCCCTTCATCTTGATAGTCACCACAGCACCTTTACTGCCACACTCGTCCCGTCTTGGGAAACTCCCTATCAACTAACTTGGTCCTCAACCTGCCTGCTCTGCATCTCACACTTGGACTGACATTATTCCTCCCCACCTAGTGCAAAAGGGGCTTTTGTGTTTATCTGCTCAGCATCCTTCTCTCTCTTTCTCTGTCTCTCTTGCTCATTCACAGGGTCTAGCCCACCCCTAGCCACAAGAATGGGAATGAGACCAGTCATAAAATTCAAATTTGAATTTATGTGACCCCAAAGTTTAATCAGTATATGGTTGTATGTTTGGGTGTGATAATTGGGTAGAAGTAGTTAGAACAGGGTTAGGATCATAAAGTCTGTAATTAAAAAAAATGAGCAAAGAGCCTACTAAGCACCGTAAGTAATATAGCAGCCCATGGCCAGTCCACTCGGGAAGGCCAGAGGGGCTGGTGTTACACTGTGGAGCAACTTTGTGTCCTAATAGAAATATCTTTTTGTATTTCCTAGTCATCTATAATCTCATCTAGAATCTGCGGTGGAAGGACACTCCTACTTCCAGGGATGATCTCACATCTGAACCACAGTTGTCATATAAAGAATCTTAGGCTGGCGGGCGTCGGGGACTGAGCGGCTCTGTCCGCTCTGAGGAGGGTTCGCGACCAATCGCTTCTTCGCTGTCCCCGCCGCCGCCGTCTACACTCCGTGTTCTAGGGAGAAAGAGAAGATGGTGGGCCGGAACAGCGCCATCGCCGCCGGTGTCTGCGGGGCCCTTTTCATCGGGTATTGCATTTACTTCGACCGCAAGAGACGGAGCGACCCCAACTTCAAGAACAGGCTTCGAGAACGAAGAAAGAAACAGAAGCTTGCCAAGGAGAGAGCTGGACTTTCCAAGTTACCAGATCTTAAAGATGCTGAGGCTGTTCAGAAAGTCTTCCTTGAAGAAATACAGCTTGGTGAAGAGTTACTAGCTCAAGGTGAATATGAGAAGGGTGTGGACCATCTTACGAATGCAATTGCTGTGTGTGGACAGCCACAGCAGTTGCTACAGGTGTTACAGCAAACTCTTCCACCACCAGTGTTCCAGATGCTTCTGACTAAGCTCCCGACAATTAGTCAGAGAATTGTAAGTGCTCAGAGCTTGGCTGAAGATGATGTGGAATGAGAAACAAATGTCAACGTAATAAAATCTCAGTTAAAAATACTTTAAAAATTCTTAACTCGGAAGTTGAGCAGCTCTGGGGGAATAAGGGCAAATATGCTTGTGACGGACTATCCTACACTGAAATCTACCAAAGTTCATGTTTACTTTGTGTAGATCCATTTGTCACTTTTATTTATTTTTCCCAGTGAAAAGTGTATTTTGATAGAGAGCTTTTCATTTTATAAATACACTACGAGTTACTGAAAAAAAAAAAAAGAAGAATCTTATTGGGGAGTGATTATGTAGCTGTTAAGTGAGGAAGGGTGGAGGACACTTTCCAATTCGTTTTCTGAAGCTACTGTTACCCTGATACCAAAACCAGACAAAGGCAGTACAAAAAAAGAAGCTACAGACCACTATCCCCCATGTATATAAACGCAAGAACTCTTAACAAAATATTAGCAAATAAAATTTAGCAGTATATAAAAAGAATTATACACCAGACCATATGGGGTTTATTTCAAGGATGCAAACCTGTTTCAGTATTTGAAAATCAGCCCATGGAAACTACAGTATTAACAGGCAAAAGAGAAAAAAAACCCAAAAAACCACATGATCATAATCAAAATCATGCATAAAAGTATTTGACAAAATGTAACACCCATTCATGATTTTAAAAACTCTCATAAAAATAGGAATAGAGGGGAACTTATTCAACTTACAAAAAACCTACAGCTTACATTATACTTAACGGTGAAAGACTAAATGCTTTGCCTATAAAATTGGGAACAAAGCAAGGATGTCCACCTTTATTCAAGATCATCCTTAGTCAACATGGTACTGCAAGTTCTAGCCAATGCATTAAGACAAGAAAAATAAATACTATAAAAGGCATTCATATTGAAAAAGAATAATAAAATTGTCCTTATTTGCTGATGACATGAATGTCTGTGTAGAAAATGCCAAGGAATCTACAAAAACTTCCTATAGGTTAGTTCAATAAGGTCAAGGATACAGAATAAATATAGAAAAGATAATTTTATCTCTATAGTCTAGCAATGAACATGTGACTACCAAAATAAAAAATACAATAGTTTTTACAATTGCTCAAAAAAATGAAGTACTAAGGTGTAACTCTAACAAAATACATGCAGGAAGTATCTGCTGAAAACTACAAAAGCCTAATGAAAGAAATCAAAGAAGACTTAAATAAATGGACAGACATATCGTGTTTATGGATTGGAAAACTCAACGTAGTAAAGATGTCAATTCTACCCCAAACTGCCATACACACTTTCTATCAAAATCTCAGCAAGATATGTTGTGAATATAGACAAAATTATTCCAAAGTTTATATGAAAAGGCAAACAAACTAAAATAAAACAATTTTTAAGAAGAAAAATGAGTATCAGGAGTCATTCTGCCCCATTTCAAGAATTACATGTCTACAGTAATCAAGACTGTATGACATTGGTAAAGGTACGGACACACTGATCAAAGAAAGAGAACACAGAGCCCACATAAAGACCTACACAGATATGGCCACGTCATTTTTTTTTCTTTTTCAGACAAGAGTCTTGCTCTGTCACCACCTATCTCACAGCAACCTCAATTCCTGGGCTCAAGTGATCCTCCTGCCTCAGCCTCCCGAGTAGCTGGGACTAAAGGTATGTACTACCATACCCAGCTAATTTTTTCTGTTTTCAGTAGAGGCAGGTCTAGCTCTTACTCAGGCTGGTCTCAAACTCCTGAGCTCAAGCAATCCTCCCAACTCAGCCTCCCAGAGTGCTAGGATTACAGGTATGAGCCACCGTGCCCAGCCACCAAGTCATTTTTGACAAAAGTGCAAAAACAATCCAACAGAGAAAAGATAGTCTTTTCAAAAAGCAGGAGCAATTGGACATTCATAAGTGAAAAATAAAAAACAAACTTCAATTAAGTCTCATGGCTTATATGATAATTAATTGAAAATGGATTGCAGATTTAAATGTAAAACATAAACCTATAAAACTTAAAGAAAAAAGAGAAAATCTTTAAGATCTAAAACTAGGCAAAAGGCTGGGTGCGGTGGCTCACGCCTGTAATCCTAGCACTCTGGGAGGCCGAGGTGGGCGGATTGCTCAAGGTCAGGAGTTCGAAACCAGCCTGAGCAAGAGCAAGACCCCGTCTCTACTATAAATACAAAGAAATTAATTGGCCAACTAATATATATAGAAAAAATAAGCCGGGCATGGTGGTGTGTGCCTGTAGTCCCAGCTACTCGGGAGGCTGAGGCAGGAGGATTGCTTGAGCCCAGGAGTCTGAGGTTGCTGTGAGCTAGGCTGACGCCACAGCACTCACTCTAGCCTGGGCAACAAAGCAAGACTCTGTCTCAAAATAAATAAATAAATAAATAAATAAATAAATAAAACTAGGCAAAGAATTCTTACATATGATACTCAAAAGCACTGTCTGTTAAATAAAAAATTTAAAAACTTAGAGTTCATCAAAAATAAAAAACATTTTCTTCATGAAAAGCCTTGTTAAAAGGATAAAAATATAAGCTACAGACTGGGAGAAAATATTGGCAGATTATATATTTATGGTAGAATTTGGATCCAGAATATATAAAGAATTCTCAAAACTCAAGGAAACAAAGAACCTAATTTAAAAAATTTTATATTTGAGCAGATAATTCACCAAAGAAAATACCGGATGTCAAATAAGCACACGCAAAGGTTCTCAGCATCACTAGTCATCAGGGCAATACAAATTAAATAATGAAATATCACTGCACACATATCAGAAGGGCTAACATTAAAAAAGACTGACAGTATCAAGTGTTAACGAGGACATAGAACTGGAACTCTCACGCATGGCTGGTGGGACTGTAAACAGCACACTTTGGAAAACAGTTCAGCATGTTTTAAAAAGTTAAACATACACCTCATGTATGAATCAGTCATTCCATTCCTAGGTATTTACCTAAGAGAAATATGACCCAGTCATTCTATTCCTGGGAAATTTACCTAGGATAAACGAAAGCATATAACCATATGAAGACCTATTTATGAATGTTTGTATAGCAGCTCCAAACTGAAAACAGCCCAAATGTCCACCAGCAAGTAAATGGATAACCAAACTGCTATTAAACAGTTATCAAATAAACTGGACTATTGTTACTCATCAGTTAAAAGGAATGAATTTATTGATGCAAACTTTAACGTGAAGGAATATGAAACTAATTTTGCTGAACAAGAGAAGCCAGACAAGAGTACATAGTGTATGATTCCACTTATATAAAATTCTAGAAAAATGCAAAGTGCTCTATGGTGACAGAGAGCAGATCAGTGGTTGCAAGGGGATGGAAGTGGAGGACAGATGGGAAGGGATGAGAGGGAGGGAGTGCCAAGGGGCATGAGGAAACTTCTGGATATTATGATATGTTCCTCATCTTGATGGCAGTGATGGTTTCAAAGTTGATACATACGCCAAAATTTATCAAATTTATGCTTTAAATATGTACAGTCTATTGTTTAACAATTATGCCAAATATACCTGTTAAAAGTTTATTAATAAAGTTTTGACCATTGATCACAATTATTAGATAACCATTTATGTCAATTCATATGTGCTCAGCACCTGTCTAGTGCAACTAGCTATAATCAAACCACAAAACGGCAGTAATGTAAGGATCTGATAGTTTTAGATTCTTCCCAAAGTCATCACAAATAAATTTATAATAGTTAACTGATTTGAAGGAATTCCGGTAACTTAAAAAATATTTTTAGGAAAGAAAGTATAAGGTTTTAATTTAGAGATATAATGGCTATTGAAAATCTGTCATAATGGAAGAAAATAACTAGAAAACACATTTTCAAAAATGAAGGAAGTCTGCAAAATAAAAAAAAATGAGCTCTCTCTATTTAACATAGGATGTGGCTTACAAAACCTTCAATTTCACTTAACTTTTGAGAGAAATATTTATCCCATAAAAGGATGTGTACAGCAAAGTGGTCAAACTGACCCAGAGCAGCAGCAGCCAGTGTCAATCAACATTTATTTTAAAACATTATTTGTGGGGATCTGTTTTCAAAATGGTTTTCCTTTTCTAATTTAAAATTTTATTTTTGAAATTCACTCATTAGGTTTCGGAGTGCTGTCCTTGTGACTAAGTGGATGTATGCATACATTTATTAAGGTACTTGTGAAGTCTGCTTTGCATTTTCACACCCTAGCCAGGTTGTTTTGATAATGACTTTTAATAACAGCATCAATAGAATTCATAATGTGGAATTTTTTTCACACTAAAGCACTTCATGTGTATCCCTGAAACCATGTACCATCTGCCTTTGCCTGGTTCTGCAAGGTTTTTTTTTTCCCCATCATCTGAGAGGGAAGGGTTTTCTCTAAACCCATAGCTATCATGATGCAAACCATTCCTAGCACTGGTGGGTAGTCTCACTTTCTTAGATGAAAGGGACATCACATCAGCAGTGATAGGCAGATGAAGGTGCCTCAGGTAGAAGTCCAAAGAGGAGATGGAATCAGTCCAAAGCATTGGCAACTACATCTCAAACTAAGGTAGTGTTTGTGGAAAAAGAGGGGGTGGATCCTAGCTATCGTGTGGAAACAAAAGCAGGAGTTGCCTTACTCTAGCATGTTCATCCTCAAGCCATGCCAAGACCTCAGAGGCAGGTGGAGGGGAAGAGAAGAAAGCTGGGAACTGCCAAGCCCAACACTAGGGTGCCAAGACTGTAAAACGGGACTGGCCCCTGATGAGAGCATGGAGAAGCCATCAAAATCATATCAAATAAATAAATGGCTCCTATGAGCTAATAGGCCAGCATGTGTTATCCAAGTGGAATCTTTTTGGCAAAAACAGCAAGGTCACAGGATCCTTTAGAACAAGAGTTAGCAAACTATTGCTCTTGGGCCAAACATAGACCATGACCTGTAACAGCTTTATTTTTGTAAATAAAGCTTTATTGGAACATATACTACAATGGCAGAATTGAGTAGTTGTGCCAGACACCACAGGGTTTACAAAACCAAAAATATACTCTGTCTGGCCCTTTATAAAAAAGATTTGGCAACCTCTGTTCTAGAAGATGGTGAGGCTTGGGGTCAGCATTGTGGTTTCAGGTGATGTGTTTGGCTTAGAGACACACCCTAGGCACGGGCTGAGGGAATCGCTTTAAAGAGGGAAATGGTAAGGTCTAGGCAGAATGTCACGACCACAACTGAATAACCTAGAGTTCAAGACCTCAGCTATAGGCAGAAACCAA